CTCATCTTTACCGGGGAGGCAGGATCAGGGTATTGTAACCAAGAGCCAACAGGTAAAAAGGACTAAAACAGAGAGGACAGTGGTTTGCATTAAAGGCTTAAAGAGTTTGTATTTGATTTTTTTTCTAATTGAGACCATGTTGTGATGTAAGAGTAGATTTTAGTTATAGACAGATACTGACACGGTATTGAAAAGTACTGATTCTTGTCTTTAGACTTTAGACATTTTTATTCTCTGGCTTTTAATACAGCGTGAGTTGCGTTGTCCTTAGGGGTGTAACGATATCCAAGTCTCATGATACGATATTGTCACAGTATTAATCTCACGGTACGATATTTATTGCGATATCGTTGGAAAGCTCAAGATATTGTGGGGAGGCTCACGATTAGGGATGCAACGATATCCAAATCTCTCAGTATGATGTTTTCACAATATACATGTCATGGTACGATATTTATTGCGATATTTTGTGGAGGCTAAACAACTAAAACTGTTAATATGCTACTTTTTCCTCTTAAAATGCCTTGACAAGACTTAATCCAAAGATTTAAGACTTAAAAGTGCTTAGAACTGTTATTTCTTCTTGTAGTCTGCCCTGAAACAGAGCAAAGGATCATGGTCTATGTAGTTCCCGCAGTTTTTTTAATTTTTTTTTAATCTATTGCTGCACCATAACTCGTAATTTAAGCAAAGAGACTTTTAATTCGATATATTGTGATGGTCGACGATATTATTGTGAGAACTTTGATACGATATCATGATATTTTTGTTATTCTTACATCCCCAGTGGTCCTTTGTGTCTTTTATTTTTTTTATTTATTTATTGTTTTTATCTATTTTATTTTTTAGTACTGCTTTTATGTATTGATTTTATTATTTTTGTTCATTGATTTTATTATTATTTTATTTATTTATTCTGTTAGTTTCCTTATGGTTGAAACATTTTTTTTTTTTTTAAGTAAATTGTTGTACATTGCTATGTCAAGCACTTTGATAACAAATAACAGAGGGAACTACATCGACCATGATCCTTTGCTCCATTTTGGCACAAACTACATGAAGAAATAACAGTTCTAAGCACTTTTAAATCTTAGTTCTTTGAATTAAGTCTTTTCAACACATTTTAAGAGGGAAAAGTGGCATATCCACAGTTTTGTTCGCCTCCACAAAATATCGCTGTAAATATCGTACCGTGAGATGTATATCGTGAAAGTATCATACCGTGAGATTTGGATATTGTTACATCCCTAATTATGAGTCTCCCCACCATATCGTGAGCTTTCCCACAATATTGCAATAAATTGTTACACCTCTAGTATCTAATTGTTAGATCAGTTCAATCTGAGAGTAATGTCACACTGGAGGGGTTCTACATATATGTCTATGGAACAATGTTCAGCAGTTACCATAGTGACACCGTGCACACATTGGCAAACACAGTCTGATAAGTTTTTAGACTGAAAAAAAAAAAAAACTAAATGGATTTAAACAACACAACAGTGTGAACATTCATGATCATGTTCAGGTGTTTGTGAGAGTGACTAACTGAAAAACTGTTGCCTTGTGACTGTAATGCAGAGGTCTCCAACACCCCCTTCCAAGTAGATCGCCAAGGGATTTCTGAATTTGACGTATTGTGCTGAATTTGATTAATTAAATGCCTAATACCACTGTGCATGTCTCATTTTGATTCCTAACCTTGCACAGAAATAAATGGGTAATGGTTTGTTTTATTGGCATCTAACTGTACCTCATCTAAATCTTGCCATTGCTCTTGTATTTATTCAATTTCTTGTGACCGTTAAAACTTGTAGCTCTCTGGCATTTTTATGTTGTAAAAGTAGCTCACTGAAGGAAAAAAGTTTGGAGAACCCAACTGTAATGTTATTTATGAGAAATATGTTTAACAGCACAAATCAGCACCAGTTGTAGTTCCAGCTAAGTCTATTCTGTATGGCCAAACTGTGTTAAACTAAACTCAGGTTAAACTCTTACTTCAGCTACAGAGCTTCAGATGAGAAGGGGACAGAGCAGTGCATACAGTTAGCATAACACCTCCAGGGAGTGTTGATGGCATCAGCTGCAAAGTATCAATAGAATATATAAAATATCTAAACTCTGAGAGCTGTGCTTAACTTATTTTAACACAATTTCTTTCATTCTGACATTGTCTGAAAACTCTTAAAACTTTTTTAAAATATGTGAAAAAATAAACAAATAAAATAACTAAAGGCAGGCGTACTTGTTGTGACAGAAGTTTGGGGCTCTAACTCTCCACACCGCACAACTGCAAAGCACAATATTGATGCCACTGGAAAACAGATTTGTGCAAGTTTCGATTTCAAAATCATACTCCATCATGAATATGTATGAGGCTGAATCCTCAATCGATAATTTCTACCCACCAGCTTATATAAACATGTCTTTTTTTTCTACGGGAAAATCAAGAATCATCCAAACAATATATTATCATTACAAATGAGGCAGGGGGAATTTACATTTATGGATTGCGATGCCACATTTCCAATACAACTCCCAGTAATAGGCAGATAGACTTTACAGTAGGACCTGAAGGCACGAGGAGTTCTGCAGCCAAAACTGGGCTGGGCCAAGATTTCAACATTTGAGATTTAACTCTTCAGGCTTCTACACCCACTCCACCACGGCTTGTGTCAAACTCACTTTTATTAAAACTCAAATCTAGCAACCTTTAGCCCATCAGGAAGAAGGACGTGAATGAAGAACGTGTAATTAATGTTTTTGATGCTGAAACTTGATTTTGTTTGTCGGAATTAAATTAACTCAAAGTGTGTGGGCAGTTTGTCCTTCAGGAGTACAAGCTATGATTTTATAAACTTGACAAAATTGAGAAATAAAATCAATGTGCCTGTTATAATCTTGAAGGTGCGTTGTGTAACTTTTCTCACGGACGGTCCTTCAAATACTTTTCTCTTTAGAGATGTTATTGCTTTGTCTGGAATGTTTCACAGTGTGGTATTAAACTTTTCTATCTTCATGGAGACTAAACCAGACTGAGTTACAGGTCAGATCTGGGGGGAGGTGACCCCGCTCAGTCAGAATTTTATTTTATTTTTTTGGAACTTTTTATTTTCATTTTCATTTTCACACAAAATAAAAAAGACATAAGAACTTTCCCTGAGTCAAGAGTATAAAAATATTACCTTGTACAAATGCAATATATATATTCCAGTAGTATTTATTATAACTTGTACATCCTTGTGAACAATTGAGAAGTAGGGCGTTAACAATAATAACCAAAATAATAAAATAAATACGTTAAAAATATATAAAATAAATAAATAAATATGTAAAAAAGGATTATTATATATACTAATTAAAGGAAGATAAAGAATGCTATTTTTTCAAAGTATTTTTGAGCTATAAAACCATCTGTAACTGAATAAATGTAAGGTAAAGCTGTTTAAAGCAAATGACTGACCAGAAAAGTTACACAGAGCACCTTTAAAGAACCTTTACCTGTTTTTTCTTTTTTTTTTCATAATTGAGAAATTGTCTTGCCCCTGCACAGATATATCGTATAAGCAGCTCTTGAGGTCAAAATAAGTCAGCTATGTACTTTCTGCAACTAATTGTAAAGCATTTTATTATTCATTACTGCATTTACTGTTTACAATTAAGTTCTGTTTTTAAGGTAATAGTTGCAGACCGTATATTGTAATGTATGAATGTTTTTCAAATACAAAAATACAATTCCATGGTCATATGACTGTTGGAAAATTGTTCGAACCCCCCACATCCCCTCTCATCCAAAAGGGAAGTTTGCAAGGGGCTTTCAGGAGCTCCTTGAAATCACCCATTGTTCCAGACAAACGCAGTCAGGAGGATTCAACACATTGAGCCTCCTAGTGGACAGAGTAAGACATGACCTCTGCATGATGGCAGCGCTGGGCAGGGTCACATCAGTAAACGGTGGCTCACCATACTTTAAAAGGCAGAAGTTCCTTTGTGGGCTGGTATTGTCCCAGAGCTGATGGAGAAAGCCCGTGGCACAGTTTAAATGCAAAAACATGCCAGGGCAAAATTGTGTCTAGTTTGTAGTGTGCAGATTTATAGACCAACATAGGATATCAGTAGCCACGCTGGCGCCACCTAGTGCCTCCGCTCAATTTAATTTCTCTTCCGCAACTAGGTCAAGAATCAGAACACACTAGAAGGTTTGCAAGAACGTCGGAAGTGCGAGTTCGGGCACCAGCCAGTCAACGAAGAGCCATACGATTCCCGAGATTGAAGATTTAAAGCCGGAATAAAGAGAATGTTTGGTGAAATTCATCAAGGGGAAAGACGTTTTTGTCCTTCTTCCAACGGGATTTGGGGAAAGCTTAATATACCAGTTAGTCTCTTTAGCGGCGCATTGCATACGTCGTGACCAAATAGCAGCAATTGGTTAAATGATCAAAAGTACTAGAGGTGCGCGGATGGGCTACTGTTTCATCTGCAACCGCATCGCAAAACTCATCGTCCGCCCGCTATCCATTTGCAACCACAGTTTTTGACCAGTTTTCAAAACCGCACCCGCCCGCCATCCGCTCGGTCTCCTCCCAGTTGCTCCGAGTTCAGAGTTTTTTATTTGAGTAGTGAAACAGCCACCTGCCCGAATTTAATTAAAATATTATTTTTCGTCACGTCAGTCGCCCGAACCGCGGCTGTAACCGCCATCCGCGCATCTCTAAAAAGTACCCAACTACCATCGAGCGAACAAATTCTACCACTGTGAGGTCAGACAGTTTCTACGAAGTGAAACCGGCTGATGAATCAGGCTAGGATATCAACTGCTCCACACAAATATCTAGTTTCTGCTGTCATCTGGAAAGCTGTGATTGCCTTGCACTATTGATCATGTCTCTGGAAACATCTTAATTTCAAAAACATTGTTGAGTAGACTACTTTTGAAACCTCTGTACTATCATCTTTTTCCAGTACCTTTCCACATTTCAGAGCTGTTGTATTCTTCCTCACAGGGGCCGACGATGAAGAGTGGGATTGTGCAGAGATTTGGTTGTGAGCGATGGTGGAGGAGGGGGGCGTTACCGCGGCGATGCTCCCCTCTTTGGTCAAACTGCAGTGGGCTTAGTGCGCTCCTGAGCCTGGGGACTTTCAAAGGCTGCAGCTTTGAGGGAGGCCGCCCCCAGACTCCTGATGATAGTGAGGTGAATGGAAGCAGGTACGGAGAGCACGTTCCCACATTACACTGCGCTTTCAAGTCCCCATCAGGATTCTGCTGGTATATGGTGCCCGTGTTTAAGATACTATAAACAGATTAGGTCAGCCAGTGTGTTTTCAATATGTGGAAACTCTGTCATGTCCAAAATCAAATAAGATGTCTAATAGTCTGTATGATGGTTGTATAAGTGGTTGAATAGAGTAATGTGTGACTCCCTGTTGGTTATGAAAAAAATTAATGCTTTTTGCTGAGTACTGAGAGGGCTGAAGCTAACTAAACGCTCTGCTCTGTCTAAAGCTTTGTTGCTCTTCAAATTAGATTTTAACCTGAGATTTGTTTAACACAATCTGACCACAAAGAGCTCTTAGTTGGGGTGGGCTGATGTAATTTTCAAAAGGTCCTTCTCAAATTACAAGATAGCAGGGGTGTAATGGTTCACTAAAATCACAGTTCAGTATGTACCTCAGTTTTAAGGTCATGGTTTGGTTCATTTTCAGTATGGGAACAAAATGCAAAACCATTTGCTTGTGGTTTATTTGTGTTTTTAGTAAACCAACAATTTGTTTTAACATTGTACAAACAGGAAAATAAAATAAATGCAAAGCGCTGCTTGGTAATAGTAATAAGTTAAATAAAATATTCTCAAATAAGCAACAAATGCATGAAATATTATAAAAAATAAATTCATTGTAAACAGTAAACAAAACGAGCGCAACACGAACAGTTCCAGCATGAAATTTTACTCAATCTTCTTATATTATGGCTACTGTAGTCAGGAGCCTCGCTGAGTTATTCTGACAGAAGCTGAACTACATCAGGGTACAAAGAACTTATAGTTTATGCAAATGAGACATGTGGTTTTAAGTTTCGTTTCTGTAAAAATTAAAGAAATGTGCACAAAGCTGCATTAAACACATTATTTCTTAATGTATATTTGAGTCCTCCTCGTAGGATATTAAAATCCAAACTTTTAACAAAAAATTATCCACCCACATTCACATTCATAATACACATTCACCAAGACGGGGAGGCAACGCCGGGCGAATTATGCCACGATCTGCCAATGGATCATGGACGCCTGGGTTAAGGGATCAGTCTCAAGTGTCGTCCATTTCACTTAAAGCGCCTTATAATCCAGCGTGTCTTATGTATGGAAATAGACAAGAGAATTCAACATTATTGATATTGGGCCTTATAATCCGGTGCACCTTATAGTCCAAAAAATATGGTAATACTACTGCTTAAACAACATTAACACTTCACAGATAGCTCACATTAATCAAATTTTTTAAAGTTTACTCAAGTTCTTTTTCAATAACACTCACAAGGGAACAAAGCGTGCCAAGTTTTATTTTCTTACACTTCATCATCCATTACATTTCAAGGTAATGCGCAGGTTACAAGTTGTTTCTGATAAATACCCACGGCGTGTCCTTGCTATCATAGGTTTTATTTGCGTGTCTTTTCGCTAAACTCAATTAATTCCACTTTTCAAAAATTCCACCAAAAAGCAAAGAAATTACCCGACAAAATTCCTACCCAGATGCTCAGTGTGCGAAAAAATGTTGTCTTTAATAGCTTCAGATTCTTTCCGTTTAAGAAATGAAATGAGATCGTTGTGATCACATTCAGTCACTTGACTATTATGCACACGGAAACAGCATATCTCTCATATTTACTGTATAAATAAAAGTAAAAGTACACAGTAATTTGCTTGGGTTGCTATATTCTGTGCTGTCTTTGCGAGCAGGTTTTTCTTGCAGTGAATAGAACAGTTCTTTCTCCCACTCTTTTCAACACAAGGCTCACTATGCCATTGTGCACAAGTGCCTCGGCCTTGATAGAATGACCTAACATTTTGACAGCACAAAATATAAAGCCTCTCTTTCTCCTCCAGTCATGGGAATGGGTCCAGTCAATGAAATGTGGGTGTGGGGCTGTGCTGTGTGCGGTTATGCTCGCAGGGTTTCAAGGGATTTTACACATTTCTTTAAGATTTTTAATTAATTGATTAATTGATTGCAAAATGATTACTTGTGCAGATGTTGTTGTTGTTGTTGTGTTGTTGTGCAAGACACTTCACCCATTTTGGCTGTTTAATCGTGGTGCATGTGTGAGTGGTGGTGATGGTTTAGTTAAGGGACAATAAAGGTGCACTGTGGTTATTTGTGTCAGCCACCTGCTTCTCAACGTTGGTGATTTTCTTGGTATGAATGTTCCATGGTATGGCATTAATCATATCTGCATTTATTCAATTAATATGAAAACGTGAATCCACAAATCTGAGTTGTAACTTGCCTGGTGGCATTTCTGCATGGAAACAGATCAGTTTGATAGCATTAATGAACATTCCAGGCAAAGTACTGTATTTTTTGGACTATAAGGCACACTTAAAATTCTTAAATTTTCTCAAAAATTGACATTGCTCCTTATAATCTGGTGCGCTTTATGTGTTAATTCTGGTTGTGCTTACTGACCTCGAACCAATTTTATGTGGTGCACAGTGCTCACAAATCTGTCAAAATGTTTTAGTACAACTTTGGTAAGCTACGAAGCTTGATGGATTGTCGGAGCATTACAGCTACTGTAGTCAGGAGCCTCGCAGAGTCATGTTCTTTAGTCCAATAGAAGCTGACCACATCAGTGTACAAAGAGCGAGCTTATAGTTTATGCAAATGAGCCATGTGGTTTTAAGTTTAGTTTCTGTAAAACGTAAACAAATGTGCACAGAGCTGCATTAAACGCATTATTACTCAATGTATATTTGAGTCCTCCATGTAGGAAATAAAAAACTAACTTAAATTATCCACCCACATTCACATTCATAATACACATTCAACAAGACAGGGAGGCAACACCGGGAGAATTGCGCCACGATCTGTCAATGGATCACGCCTGGGCTAAGGAATCAGTTTCAAGTGTCGTCGATTTGTTTCACGTAATGCGCCTTATAATCCAGAGCGATTTATAGTCCGAAAAATACGGTAATTGCCATGGAATCTCCAAGTTAGTGATTCAAGTAATTTTATTTTTTCACATGATCATACAATTTGATAAACTCTACAGCATTCCAAAATGCTCAAAGAAAAAGTATATGGACTTCCTTTTTATAGGCATCATTCTGAATAAAGATATGTAAGCACGCCATTTTGAAACGTTAATGACTATGGCAACAATCGTTCTTACCTTCCATTACTCTGAAACCCATGAGTACTTGCAAAAGCACAATTATATGCATGTCATAGAACTGTAATAAAATCTGGAAGATGAATCGAGGATGGCGCTGTATTGTTTTCGATGGTCTGCTCAATGGCGCATGGGCCCAAAAACAATGTTCACTTCCACATTTACTTCCTCAATGAGTCCCCATTGAGGAAGTAAATGTGGAAGTGAACATTGCTCCTCCCACCCATGTGATGTCTGTAATGTGCACGGCGTGCAGCGTTTGGACCAATCAGAGTGAGAGCTGCTAGAGTGGAGCTAGTGTGGGCTCAGAGTGGGGCGAGACTAATTCTTACAAAGCTACATTTTAGGCGCTTTGAGGATTTAAAAAAATTATTGTGAAAATAGAAAAGAGTCCTTACAAAATCCGAACTTAGTGACAGTTTTCGATGCCCTATCACCTGAACACGGGCAGTTTGAATTCCCAAAAAATTCATTGTGCTTCTGTGGGGGAATTCTTTCTGGGCACAAGCTCCCGGGAGCTGCAATACTTGGAGTGACCACTAGTCGGTCTCGAGCCGGAAAGAGTTAGTACTTTTTTTTTGTTACTACTTTTAGTTATTAGTAATTTAGTAATTCTATAGCTTTAATTTTCATGCAAATGCTAAATTACTACTTACCCCTGAACGTGTCTTAGCTCCTGGTTTGCACTTTTGGCTCTTTGTCCTGCTTAAACTCTGAGATGTTTGACCAGTTCTTCGGACAGACGAGACAAACATCAGATCAGAGTGGAGTTGGAGTTACCTGTCCATGAAAAAGTAATGAGTAAGACAAATGTTTAGGTACAGAAAACAGGTTTTTGGTGAGAGACTGGAGCTGATGAGTCAGTGCAGAATGACAGGCAGGAGTGTGTGTGTGTCTGTGTGTGTGTGAGATAACCCCGTGACAATGACATGTCCATCACTGCAGCTATGATTGGGCATAAAACACAGCATTTGTCATGTCATTAAATATGATTCTATAACGCTGAGAACATCTGGAAGGCAGTCAAGCGAGAGAAGGAGGGGTTAAGAAGAGAGCAGGAAAGAGAGAGACGTGGAAACGAGAGAGGGAGAGAGAGACAGATAGGCAGAAAGAGAGGTGGAAATGAGAGAGAGAAGATAGACAGAAAGGGAGAAAGCAGGAGAGAGAGAGAGGTGGAAACAAGAGGTTGAGAGAGAGACAGATGAGAAGAGGGAGAGAAAATGATAGACTGGCAAGAGACGGAGAGAGAAGGGGGAATGAGACGGTGGTACGAAAGAGAGAGATAGAGAAAGGAAAAGAGAGGAGAGGTGAAAAAAGAGAGGGAACAAGAGAGAGATAACTAGAATAAATGAGAGAGAGAGAGATGGGGGCTGGTATGAAAGAGAGAGAAGGGGGAATGAGATGGCAGTGTAAAAGAGAGAGGTAGGTGGGATGAAAGAGAGGTAAAACGATAGAGCAAGACAAGAGAGAGGAAAAAAGATGAGAGGTGAAGAAAAGAGAGAGATATAGACTAAATGAGAGAGCTGGTGAGCTGAAGAAGAGGAGGACAAGAGAGAGAGAGAGATAGAAAGAGACTGATAGAAGGAGAGAGGGAGAGAGAAACAGCACTTGAGGCGGTCATTTTGGCTTTTTGTGATTTAAACTGTTCGTGTTTACGTGCACAGATTGCTTATGTCATCAGATTTTGACAAACTTCTCCACTGGTTTTGAACTCCATCTGAAACCATCTGCTTTGCCCAGAGGCACGTGACAACAGCCACAGGCCGCTGTAAAGAGAGAGATGATTTTGTACATTATTACACACATCTGATATGATAATAATTCACTTAATCCAATTAACAGAGCATTCGATGTTCCTCTATTAATAATGTTGATATTGTAGTTATCAAACAATACTGAGTCATTATATCAGTAATAGAAAAGATTTGGTTTAAACGAAGTGGTTAGAATTGAGTTTGAAATGTTACCGCTTAATATTGTGCATTTCAGTTATCTGCTAATAATACTGTCCAGCTG